ATCCTTAGCTGTGACTTTTTGAGAGCATGACTCAGGCGTGGAAGAGAACTTGTGTTTAATATTCCACTTTGGTGATGATGTGTGCAAATCTGTTCCCTTAACACCTTTTTGAATTATTTTATTTTTCCAGTTTGTACAGATGTAAAACTTTTCATGTGGGATGTGGTTCAATTAGAGTAGAGAGAGAGAGTTAATTGTTTAAAAATAATTTTAAATGCTGTTATTTGTTACAAATAACTTGAATTATAAACAGCAAAATTAAGCTTGGTACTAATTTCTCTTGTGTTCCTCCCAGTTGGCAAAAATAGAAAATGGCTAGTCAGCTTTCCCATTGTTTACATAGTTTTGAGTTTTTAATTAACATAATCTGCTTATTGCAATGTAGCTGCTAATTGCAGCCAGTTGAAGTAGAGGGGTACAAATTGCTGTGTTTATGTGGTAGAAAAAGGAGCCAAATAATTAGGGAAACTGTTTCCCATATAGAAAATGATAATATTTTCTTTCTTTACATGGAAACATAAATAAATCTGTGACCAACTGTTTAGACACCATTTAAAAAGCACTGTAGCAAAGCAAAGAACTTCAATACATTCAAATTGGTTCATTTCTCCATCAACTTGATGCCACGCATTTTTCTGTTTAATGAAAACGAAGCTTGTGTTAAAAAGAACTCAGTGCTCAGTTTCTGAGGACTTTGGGGGATGGCGCTGCTCTTTCCCAACACAACTCTGCAGCAGAGCTCTAGAGGTGCAGCAACACCACCTCTGGACCTGCAGTATCTGAGACTGTTGGTGGAATTTCTCTGAGTCTTTACAAGGATTTGTGTAAGTCAATGTGAACATTCCAGTGCTATCATTTTAATTTGCAATTAAAATAATGCTGTTTAGGCGCTGAGTATTTCTATTTATTTTCCTCCAAACTGGAATGTTTTTAGCAGGGAAAAGAAAAAAAAATAAATAATTTTTGCAAATATTCAGATAATAGGCCTGGCTCTAACCATGCTTTACTATTGTATATAACTCTGCAGGGGTATCTTAGGCAAAGAGAACCATTAATTTTGACTTTCTCTGCAAACCTAAGCAACAGAACCAAACCTAATTACAGAACTGAGTTTTGTCCCAGCCATATAATCCACTGTGCAAATTTTACTCTTCATACTTCCACTGCAGCCAAATATGGTAAAGGTTATTAAGTATTCTAATCTCATAAAATAAAAAGGAACAAAACCGTATGCTGTTAAGATGACTAGGTTCTCTTCAAACACAGCAAGATTTACTTTATGCTAGAATGAACAATGATTAAGAAGGTTTGACTGTATTATTAGGAAACTTTAATTGCAAAAGGAGAAGCAGCTATGTATTTTGTAAAATGTAATCGAAATCATTTGCAGTAGCAAATTAAATATATTCATGAGTAAAAGTTCCAAATATTTTATCTGTTGACCTTTACCATACACTATAAAATATTAGCATTGGTGCTATTGTATAACTTTAGCAACAACAGTGCTGAAATGTGTGGGCCTGATTCTGATTTCACTTGATGTAATTCATCTGAACTCTAGAGTCAACTCTTGATTGGCAATGCTGATGGCTAATTGGAATCATGCCTTATGGCTCAAAGATTGCCCTTATGCCCACAATAATACTAATTCCTGAAATTAATAAAAAGGACAATGGTTATTGATCTATTTCAAATTACACACTCTGTGTGCTTTTCTAGGCTTGGCATCTGAGTCAGGGAAATGGATGATGAATTGATGGTAGATTAAATGGCTCCCTATAAGTAAGATTTTTTTTCTTTGAGTCTTCCAAATCATGGTTACTCATGAAATCTCTATTTATTTTAATTTTCTCTAAAATAGTGCCACATATGTTTATCAAGTTTCCGTAGCAGGTAGAGTAGACAACATGTTTATTGTCCTAAGACGCATCTAAACACATTTTTTCTATAAAAAAATTTTTGGACATGTGCCACAAAGGGAATATTTAAGCAGGACATAAAGTTTTATACCCTGATAATTTGTTTTTTAAATTAAACTCTAGGATGAAAGCAATCTCAACTGAAACTAAGATGCTGTATATCTGTCTTAATAGCAAGCTAAAATCTGGACCTTTATAAATTTTTAAGGTTAGGTATTTCCTCAATGATTTTACACCTTTTCTTTCTACAGTGTATTATGCCAAGCTCCTTAGCCCATCACACTGGAGTAGACTCATCACTTCCTTTTTCCTTTTGTGCTCATTTAGCAGCAGTACTAAGAACAGAGCGTAAGGTGTCATCTGGGTTCTCCCGTTGCGCTTCCAGACCTGGCGGGGGCCGGGCCTTGCAGCAGCAGCGGAGTGGTGACACCACACACAGGATGCAAATGGCTTCTAGTCCAGCAAATGCCTTTTAGTCTCCTGAAAAAAAATTGTTACTGCAGACTTTGGAGTTTGTGGTTCTGCCATGCTGGGGCTAAGTGAGGTCTATTTTCAGAAAACTTTTCTGTTGGCTGTTGTTGGCTCTATAGCGCTTAGCACAGTGCTGTTAATAAAGCAGCTGTCATCTGTGACAGAACACTGGTGTTTATAGTAAGATTTAACTCAGTCTGATGCTACAGAAGAATGTCCTGATGAATTGTGTTCAGTAGTTTAGGAGAAGATAATAGATCTGGAAAAAAATCCTAAAATGACCACTGATGCTGTTTCTGGGGAGAGGCAGTTCTCCTATATACAGGATATGAAGAGGGGTGATAAGAGTGCTTTTAGACAGACAATGAAACAACTCTTAAAACATCCTAATGACCTCAGAATACTTTCTAGCCCCCCTCTTTCTGGTTCTTTATGATTCTAATCTCTTTTGAGTGAAAATGCTGCAATGAAATATATTATCCCTTTTATAGAAATGACAGAGATAGAACACTTACCAAGCAATTTAAGAGACATAACTGAACCTAATCACTGCTGAAATCAAAAGAACTAAAGGGAAAATTCTTTTTTCTCTCCTTTTCCCTGGTAATGAATGTGAATACTTAGTTTTGGACTCCTTTCACCATTCTGCCTCAATAAATGAGAACAGGCAGGGAATAGATCTTTACAATGCTACACTGCTCACAGCTCAGTGCTGCTGCTTTATCCTCTGCTCCATTTCTCTAGTGTGTCACCAACTTTTTAAGTGGGTTTGCAACAGTGGTTATCAGTTGGTTCAGCTTTCAGAATAGTTCTTCTGTATCTATGCTGATGAAAAATTAAGCGTGAGGAGGAAAAAGAGCTTGTGTTTCATGTGAGTTGATATTCTGATATACAAGTCCCTTAAATTTTGTTTCATTTTTTCCTGTTTGCATAAATGGGTTTAAACATCTTGGTTTTGTCATTCAGCTTTTTGCAAAACAAATTCTTGGGACCATCCCTGCTTTTCTTCCCAAAGGTTACTCAACTAGTTAGATACAGGATCATTTAAGCAGATCAAAATTACTTGTAAATCTGTGTCAACATGATGGAACGGCTTGTGTAAGTGGAAATAAGGAGTACATAGGCTGTTTGATGAATTTTAAACCAGGCATGGGCTTTGTTAGTACTGTTAGTGCTAGAACCCTCCCATCTGGAGCAGTACTAAGAACAGAGCGTAAGGTGTCATCTGGGTTCTCCCGTTGCGCTTCCAGACCTGGCGGGGGCCGGGCCTTGCAGCAGCAGCGGAGTGGTGACACCACACACAGGATGCAAATGGCTTCTAGTCCAGCAAATGCCTTTTAGTCTCCTGAAAAAAAATTGTTACTGCAGACTTTGGAGTTTGTGGTTCTGCCATGCTGGGGCTAAGTGAGGTCTATTTTCAGAAAACTTTTCTGTTGGCTGTTGTTGGCTCTATAGCGCTTAGCACAGTGCTGTTAATAAAGCAGCTGTCATCTGTGACAGAACACTGGTGTTTATAGTAAGATTTAACTCAGTCTGATGCTACAGAAGAATGTCCTGATGAATTGTGTTCAGTAGTTTAGGAGAAGATAATAGATCTGGAAAAAAATCCTAAAATGACCACTGATGCTGTTTCTGGGGAGAGGCAGTTCTCCTATATACAGGATATGAAGAGGGGTGATAAGAGTGCTTTTAGACAGACAATGAAACAACTCTTAAAACATCCTAATGACCTCAGAATACTTTCTAGCCCCCCTCTTTCTGGTTCTTTATGATTCTAATCTCTTTTGAGTGAAAATGCTGCAATGAAATATATTATCCCTTTTATAGAAATGACAGAGATAGAACACTTACCAAGCAATTTAAGAGACATAACTGAACCTAATCACTGCTGAAATCAAAAGAACTAAAGGGAAAATTCTTTTTTCTCTCCTTTTCCCTGGTAATGAATGTGAATACTTAGTTTTGGACTCCTTTCACCATTCTGCCTCAATAAATGAGAACAGGCAGGGAATAGATCTTTACAATGCTACACTGCTCACAGCTCAGTGCTGCTGCTTTATCCTCTGCTCCATTTCTCTAGTGTGTCACCAACTTTTTAAGTGGGTTTGCAACAGTGGTTATCAGTTGGTTCAGCTTTCAGAATAGTTCTTCTGTATCTATGCTGATGAAAAATTAAGCGTGAGGAGGAAAAAGAGCTTGTGTTTCATGTGAGTTGATATTCTGATATACAAGTCCCTTAAATTTTGTTTCATTTTTTCCTGTTTGCATAAATGGGTTTAAACATCTTGGTTTTGTCATTCAGCTTTTTGCAAAACAAATTCTTGGGACCATCCCTGCTTTTCTTCCCAAAGGTTACTCAACTAGTTAGATACAGGATCATTTAAGCAGATCAAAATTACTTGTAAATCTGTGTCAACATGATGGAACGGCTTGTGTAAGTGGAAATAAGGAGTACATAGGCTGTTTGATGAATTTTAAACCAGGCATGGGCTTTGTTAGTACTGTTAGTGCTAGAACCCTCCCATCTGGTGCCCGTAAGCAGAAAGTGAAAACAAAGCGCACAAGTATGATGGTGCAATACCTGCTTCTGTTAAATTTTCTTCCTGTTGTTTCTGCTGGCCTTGTGGTGAGCGGGACACAGCCAGCAGCTCCGGCAGCACCAGAAGACAGGTGGTAAGAAGACAACAAGATGTTGCATTGATCTGTTCACAGTATTTTGTGTGCTTCAGTAACCTGTGGAAATAGGCATAAAGCATAATACTGACATTTTAGAGCAGATTAAGCAACACTTGTATAATAGACAGTACAACCCTTTAGAAGTTGGCTGGTGGGAAGGAAGCTATTTGGAGGGGTCATATGCACAATACGCTGTATTTGATTAACTGAAATTGCAAAGGAACCAGCAAATGGAACTTTTGTGGTGGTTGTGGGTTTTTTTAACATCTGAAATCAAGGGAACCATTCAGATGCTGTAATAAGATTTTTCTCAAAAGCTCAGGGGAGAAAGGAAATGGTTGCTTGATACAGTGGTATCTTTGCAATTCAGATGGATTCTAATGATGAATAGGAACATCCAGAAACACTTATTTTGTTTTATTTTCACTTTTAACACGTCTTTGTAATAAACAAGCTCTATGAATAAATACACCTGATGAAGCAGTGAAATATATTGTATGCTATTGAGAATGTTCCTCCCCCTGCAGTAGAGTAGCTGGAAAATTATTATACAACCACAGTGACATAGTTCCCCCCCATGGAGCACTTTTGCAGGAAGACAAGTTAAAAGTAAGAATAAGATAAAATGTTATTATAGGGCCATTGATCTTCTGTTACCTAAAAGGTGTCACAGCTGACAAAGTGCTAAGCTCTCCCAGCCTATGCAAAGCTCAGTACACAACAATGAAGAACAGCCTTATCAGATCTTTTCCCAACTGAAGGGGGAAGGGAGAGAAGGTGTCCTTTAGAACCAATAGGACTAAAAAAGCTGTCAGGTTCCAAAACAAAACAAAGCTTGGATGATAGTTGCAAGTGCATACTCCATGAAAATATAAATTCTACTTTAAAAAAAATTTGCTTTTAAGCATCAAATCTACTTGCCAAGTAATATCATGGACCTAGATTTTACTACCTAGTTATAAAGTCCTAATACAAAGCTTCTGGAATAGAAGTGTTGACACAAAATGATGTATAGAGATACCAGCAGCACTGCTGGAATGGTGGGATTCAGAGCTGAGAGAAAGGCTGTCATGGGAGCTTCCTACAGCCCAGTGGTACCAGTGTGCACTGGGGACACCAGACTATGCTATTCATCCCACTGTCTTTCACAGACTGGTGTGTATGAGCATAAAATCCTGATGCTGCTGTCTCATAACAATGCCATTTGCAGTGTAATTTTATTTCTATACTACTCAATGATAGTAATAATTGATTCTTGCCTCATGCAGTTTGTGTTGATCTTTTCCCTCTTTGTTTTCCTTCCCCTCCTCATCCCTTATAGGGTGAAGATCTTTCTACCACGTGTCTTTTACTACAGAGATACAGCAGGTCAGGACAATGCATACCTCAGGGCTGGGTTTCCTTCCTTGACTACTTGGGTAAGTCTCTTTGAATCAGTGCTCTGTTCTGAATAGTTTTAAAAGGTTTAGTCTGAAGCTTACATACAACACTTGTGCCACATTCAGTGGTGACAGTCTTACCAGGGTTAGAAGTAGAGCAATCCACTGACGTCAATAACTCAGAAGTAAACTGACAAATTCTATGTATTTTGACTTCTTTTGTTTGCCTACCCATGAGTCATTCAGGAACTGACTGAATATTTTCAGAAACATGCCTTATTTTCTCTAAGACAAGACTTGTTTGCAAACTCTTCTTTCTGCCACCTGGTCAGATGACTGGGTACCATTCGGTGTCATTTTAATGAAAAAGTGGAAACTACTGGCTCAAATAACTCTCCTCTTCTTTCCTCTAAACCTGTGCTTACAAAGGGGATTCTACTGAAGGAAAATGCCATAAAGGTGCCCCTGCCTACTCTCTGTTGAAGGAATTCTGCTTTAGGAAGAAGTATTGCAGTGTAATATCATAGAGCACAAAAAAAGTCCTGAAAAATGAAGAGCTTGTTTAGTCCTCCCACACTGCCCATCAGAGGCAGGATTAGCCTCCTGCATCACTCTGACACCTTTGTCCAACCCAGGCATCCTCACTGTCAGCACCTGGCAGCCTGCTGTGTTGTGAGAGCACAGCCGTGCTGTGCAGGGGTGATAAACCCAAGTGCCTGGCCAGGGCACGTGGCTGGTGGGCGCCAGGGTGGGAGCTGTGTCCTGTGAAAGGCTCAGCAAGCAGCCGTGGGACTGCTGCCCAGGGTGAGGGCATCTGGGGAGAACAGCAGTGACTGCCAGTGATTTTCATTCTGTTATCAAGAGACGGGTCCATCTCAACTTAAAACTCTCCAGTGAGAGGGATTTTCTATGGCTGCGCCAGGCAGTCTGTCACAGTGCTGAGTCCTCCTCTGTGACAGAGGCTTTGCCCCTGCCCCTCAGTGTAGGAGCCCTTGCAGAGGAACGGGCCCAGCTGCCGGGATTTAGCTGCAGTCCAAGGAACGTGGACCTCGTCTGAGGGACCATCAAGTATGATGCTACCTTTAGACTCTCGCATCAGTATTTCTAGAATTTTCCTCTGTTTTGCTTTTAAAAAGCATAGAATATGAGGAAAACATACCAAAGTATTTCTTGTGAGCACAAAATATGTGTATTTCCATTTAATGTGTGTGATCAAATGGTAGGTAAATATAAGCTAGCACCCAGCGTGCAGAAACACCCTACCCTCTATTTATTAATCTGTCTGCCAACTGAAATAAACAGCACTGGCATGTAAAGAGCATGGGAAAGAACTGTGAGGGCAGAGGTGGTGGTGAGCCCAGCATAGCGGCCGCTCTCTAGCAAAGGCATTCTACCAGCATCCTTCCAGCACCTGCTGCGTGGGCCATGCCACCCACCAGTTCGTGTTGCTTTTCATTGAGGAAATTCCCAGAAAAATAAATAGCTGGAAGGTTCTGACAACTAACCAGACATCTTTCTCACTGACTTCGTATCACTGTTGTTTGTTTATACAGCAGTTGTTGGTTTTTGCCTTCGGGAAAACAGCTCAAGGTAATATAAGCGAGTTTTCCTACAGTCTGCAAGAGGTGACATGTATCTATTATTCCATCTAGGTTGTGATTTACCTGATGTGTAGAAGCACAATGGTCAGGTTTTCATTTGCAGTAGTATTACTTAAGAACAGAAGCTAACCTTGAGCTGTTTAGACAGTATCTGTTAGAAGGTTGCATCTGAAAGAGAAATTATCCGATAAAGCTTCTAAGGCTAAAAAGCCCTAAATGAGGACCTAATACGGACCTTTGAACTTCTCAGCTGCACACAATAGCTTATAAATACCAGGGGTTACAAAACTTAAATCATATGCTTACACATTTTAATACTTATGCTAGCAAAAAAACAATCCTGTTGTTAATTACTCAACTACTCTTTCTTTGGCAGGTATAATACCAAAATACAAGATTAACTGTTATTTGTGGCCATGACTCTGTGGTAAGAACTGATGCTCAAAAGCCACATTAGGTTCTTTTATTTATGTCTCTGTGGCAGCTCATCTGAGGAAACCTGTTTGGATGTATTTTTTAAGCTATTTTAGGATCCAAGATTTTGTTTCTAGATAATAGACAAAGGAAAATGCCTTTTTGTTGGGTGATGAACATTTCCCTCTCGTGGGAAAATAAGCTTTCCTTTCCTGTGCCTGTCCCTGTTATGAAATAGAGAAGGTACCAGCCGAAGACTGTGCTGAAGTGAAATTCAGTGTGAGACCACTCCCATCACTATAAAGCATTCAAGATAGCTCAAGCCCATCTATTGCAATGGAGCCCGAGTGAAAGATGAGTTCACAGACTTTTATATTCACTCCAGCAATCTGAGTTTTTCATTTCTGTCCTCTGCGTGCAAATTGAGCAGCAAGCAAAATAAAAACTAATTAAATCATGTGATTATATATTGTTTATCCTTAGAGAATAGATTATAAAAAATGAAAATAAATTATGTGAAGATGCAGTCTGAATAATAATAAAGTAGTATAGTTTTTGGCTGCCAGTAGCCAGCTACCAGCTGAGTCAAGATGCACCCTCATCTCCTGCTTGCTGCCTTTGAACAGCAGTTATGGATTAAGTCTGACAGTGTGAAAATAAATGGGAGAGTGTAACTGAAGCCAAGCATTTATCAAGCCTGGTTGTATTCTATGCAAGGCAAGGCTGATACAATTTAATAAGATAACAGAAAACTTGACGCTGTCTTCAGGATGTCAAAACATGGATTTATGCCCTGTGCCAATGCTACTACTGTTAACTTGATGAATTTTAAGCTATTGCAGGTTTTGGGTTTAGCATCCATAAGTCAGTGGTGCAATAGGAACAGTTTTCAGATACTGAATTCAGAACTGACTGCCTGTGTGTCTGTATGGCACTAGTGTTCAAATGGTAAGTTACCATAAAATGGAGGGAAGAACTGGAGTAAGCATTGGGATAACAGGTCTTCTGTCTCATTATATGTTATACTGCACTTTTCATTCTCCAAATGCTTCGTTGCAAGAAGTTTAGGAACTAAACCTGTGTATGCAGGAAGAGAGAGACCAACAGTAAACTAACAGAACATTTGCTCTTTTTTGTTGACCTTTTGAAATTGGAGACATCTGCCATATACCCTCGTTTCTCAGTTTCTCATTAACTTTGAACTGAGCAAACCTGGGGTGCCTTAATCAACAGTAAGATTATTTTTCTATCCCTCCTGCCTTGTGAGTTTGGTGAGTTTTTGTTGAGGAACCTGGTAAACCTTCCCAGCAAAGTACATATGGGCCTGGCTGCTGCCAGGAGCATTTCTCTCCAATGAGAGAAAACTAAACAATTGCAGGTGGGTTTTTGTCCCTTCTGTGTAATAAATACTATCAAGATATCAAGTCATGAGTTAAGGTAACCTTTTGGACTACATAGAGAGAATCCCCACAGTCCCTCAATGGCTATTTATCATTCTTTTCAAGAGTGATTTTGACCCAAATGGATTGTTTTCTTGTGCTACTCTATCTTTATGCCCTAGTCCATCTTTAGCATACGCTACGGCACTATCTGTTCTTGAGAGTGCAAGGACTTTGATAAATGTACTCAGTCATCACTGCTTTTTCATACTAGGTATCTATTGATTCTTATAATATCAACTTTCATGACTTGCATCATTTGTTAAAATTTCTCCATTTAGTTTTAAAGGCCGTCTACATTGATACACAAGCAATTGAGGTTTTTCTCACTAGTTTCTTTCAGCATTCTTTACAGCTGCTTTTATCGATTGTATCTGCCTCAGTTCAGGAAGGACATGCCCCAGTTACTCCGGCTGTTCACTGAAGTACCACAGGACTGGGTCCAAAGCTTCTCCAGGGTCAGGCCTCTTCACTGAGCAGAGGGAAATGGAGTAAGTAGGTGATATTCCTGAGCCCAATTTTCAGATACCCCGTGGAATAGGAGGCTATGTTTAATATAGAGAAGTCAGTAAGTACTTTTTGTCAGAGAGGAAAGGAATGGCTTTGCCTTGATCTATTTCAGAGATGATCAAAGAACAGATTAAAAGGCCTGAAAGCTCTGTTCAGCCATCATTCATCTGTGTGCTGGATAACAGCGCTGCCACTCTCAAAGAGGTAGATGGGGAGCTCAACTCAGAGCGGCTTTTTTCCACTGTGATAATACCGTTCCCCCCACCCTTCACACGTTTTCATAACTCCATGCATAAAAGCTAATTGAATTTATCTGTAAATGAAATAGGTGTCAACTAATAGGTGTATAACTTCCATCAAATATAAGAACTGCTTTCTTGATGGGGTGAAGGCTCTTCTTCACACGTACACTGGGATGGACATAAGAGGGATAAGGAACAAGGAAGATTCTCAGTGAAATAAAATGGATGCAGTGTTGCTGCATAGCTTGTCCTGCAGCCAAACAAAAGCAGTTCAAGTCTTAAGCAGCAAAGAGCAGCCTACTGTTGGAAGCCCATCGGAGAAATTATTTGGAAGCCAGCATTACAAAGAGTAACATTCAGTCCTACCTTTATCATGTTCAAGAATAGGACAGTTGAGCAGCTATTCTTCATGCAGGCACCGCACCTTCCGTTTAGGTCATCTGTTCTTTGGTTGACTTATTGGCTTAAAGTCCTGCTAGCCCCTGATTAAAATTACTAGAACATGATCTTCCAGTACTAGTTCATATAATAAATTGCCCATAATAAAATGGTGTTTTTTACCACCAACTATTGTGCCGATTGCTTCTCTGGACTTTGATGCATAAGGCATGAGGCTATTGCTAAGATCTATTTTAATCAAAGGAAATGAAAATTTTACTATTGTTAAATGCATTTTTTTATTAATTTACAGAAATATTCCTAATTATTAAGAAGTTAGGTCAGGTCTTCCACTTTATTACTGAAGTACCAATGCCTGTTGCTGACAACCCTCTTTTCTTTGTTACATTTATGCAGGTCCCAGATGCATTTATCGTTTCATCAAAAAATTGGTTTTCCAAAACAAGTTAAAAAAGGGAACGTCACAGATACTAATTCAGTTGCGTTGCAGTGAGAGAAAGACAATAAAAACTAATGAGATTTACAATAGAAACTTTTTCATAAGTTCAGCACTGTCTCCCTGTGCATTTATTATCCTGTGGTTGGAAAAGCACTTCTCCAAAGCAGAGTTTTCACTTTTGGTGAAGAAACTTTTCCAAAAGAAATCTGTAAAAGCCGTGAGGAGACCAAAGCTGACAAAGGGTGAGGGCAGTAAGTGGTGAATAGCGGCAATGCATTTCTCCAGAAGAGAAGTGAAGTGCAGACAAACCAAGAGGCTCATCTTACTCAGTGCAGTGCAATACTTTGGCAGTAAAGAACAAGCTGAATGAGGTCTTTTTTCCCTGAATGGCACCAATTATAGTAGGATAAAAACCGAAATACATTCTATTAACAGCATTTTCTTTTCTCTTTGTAACCATATTAAAGGAGCCAAATCCTTCTAATTTGGCTTGGGCTAATCTTTATGTACTTCATTTTAGTTTAAAGGAACCCCAAGTTTGGTTCACTGGGATCATAGGCTAAACACAAAGCTGAATATAGACAGTCCACAGTTTTGAAGAAAAATTACTTAACTATATGTTGTTCTCTCTCAAATTTTTAAAAGCATATTTCTTTATTGTGTGAGAGTACTATCTATCCTGCCTGAAGTTCTTTTTTCTTTCTACACAAGATCTCTTCATAAAAAATCAATATAGTCAAAGTTATACCTCTCCTGGTAAAACTATGACAAAAGCTTTTGACAGGAAACAGGTAAGTTAAGAAACAGGAAGGCTCGGGGAGAAGTAGGAGTTGGTGGGGCTCCAGTGACGATGTCATGGAGCAGGTTCACTTGTTAACTGGTTAAAATACTCTGTATTTTCAGGTCACAGATCAGAAACCTGTAACCACCTTAGAGAACCAAGACAGGTCTTAGAAGAAACAAAGAATTCGATGAAGGATGTTGTAATGACAACGTAGTCCTGTGTGCTGTATCCAAGCCAGTGAAGGAATGAATGCAGTCTGATGCGTAATTCAGGGTAACAGTCAACATTACAGAAGTTGAATGACAAATTGGAACTGCACAGGATGGAACAGTAGCCAACACTGAACATTGTGAAGGGATCAAATATTGTATGAGATAATTATCTGAACAGTTTTCAGGTGAATATAATGCACTGTTCAACTTATTGGGAAGTCAGATAATTTAAAGAGCACATACTAGAAAAGCGCTAGTAACAACAGACTGGCAGTTAGACTTTTGTATTTGAACAGTATTAGGCTGAACTAGCACCTCACCATTTTACTGAGCACTGGCCTATTGTAAGTCACAGATAACAGTTCAGAGAAGGAAAGAAATACAAATAGTAGGATTTATAGAAAGCAAATAGTCATTTTGTCTATTAAAGGAGAGTCCAACTCTGTGCAATGGAAGAGTAAAATCAATATGCTATGACTTGTAAAGGCAATATAAAGGAAATACAGGATGAGATGAAGGTGAACTCACTACAATGATGGCTTTATTATTTTGAACACAGTAAGCAGTCTGGTGGTTTCAGCAGCAATGATGAGAAGTTTGTAAAATGTAATAAAACTCTCAAAACCCAGAGCCTTTTGTTGGATCAAAACAGAAAATTTTTGGAAAGAGAAAGTGGCAGCCATATATTGGATCATTTTCTGTTTGAGATTCCAGTACTCTCCCCTATCTTGGATCTGTGTCTTCTTTCAAGAAGAACTGGGCTATTAGTATTTCCTTCTTGGTTTAATTAATCATACAAAGAGTGATTGTGATTTCTGTTTTCTTCTTCGCAGGAATCCATGCAAATGAAGATAGGTAACCTTCCTTCTCATGATTAGCGATTTCAAAGCGATGTTCTGTCTGTTTGGGGTTTTTTCCTGCTCTGAATGCAAACCCAACAACCACATTGTGCACAGTTCAGATAATTTTACTTCACATTGACTTTTAATGGGATTTTAGTCCCAGGAACCAGATTAAAGCTGGTGCTCTACCACATGAAGCAAAGCACAGTAAGTGGGGAAACCTAAGTTCATACATATATGTTTCTTAAGATTGAAGTACCTAAATTAATAAACATCTTTAGATAAAGGAAACCAAGTAATGATGATATTGAGATCCTGAGCTACAGAGAATCACTGAATTCCACGGTTAGTCTGTATTTGAAAAGGTTATCTTCTGTTTATTCCTTTACAAAGCTGTCTGAATAATCCGGTTTTAAAGGTAGCATTCTAAATTACAGTACCAATTTTATATTTATTTAAAATTATTTCAAAATAGATTTAAACTGTAATTGCTTGGTCTTGCTTTTGAATGTCTTAATAAGAGTATTATTATTTGTTTGTACTACAGCATACAGGGGGCGGGGAATCTATTGTGCTAGTCACCGCAATAACCAGGAAGAAAAAAACATCCAAGGTTGCATACTGAATACAAACCAGTTCTTGGTATGTGCAGAATTCCAAGGAATACCTTATTTCCTAGAATGGGTACACTCTGTACACCCACAGTCTTACTTTTGCTGATTTTGTTGTGGTAACAAAAGTCTCCTAAAGTGGGACTCACAGGAAAATAACAAAAGATGCACCTGTTTGGGGCTTGTTCGTTTGGAGGAGATAAAATCCCTTTGTGTGTTTTTCAGCCAAGTGGAAGCTATGAAGAGGGAGCAAGCAGCACATAAACAAAAGGTATTTATTTCTCCCTGAAAAAGACTGTGGGTAAAACCCTGAAATGGCCTTGTATGTGTTTTTGTAGAAAGGACCTCTAGTGTGTGAAGAACAGCACAAGACCAAGAACAAATGTGTCTGTCCCTAACTCCAGTAAACAGCTGAACAAGCGGAGATCAGAAGCTAATCACTGGTGGCACTTGATGTATCAGTAGCTCATGAGAAATGACGAGTCGGAGGAAAGGCCATAAAGGCATGTGACAGTCAGGTTATCTGTGAAGTGACAGAAATGGGAAAAAAAGAAAAAAGAAAGGATACAAAGAGAGGAAAAGGGAATTGCTGCCTGCAGAAGCATTTCAGATGGCTGTCAGTAAGGTAAATCTGCAGTTGTAAAATCTGCAGAAAGATGTTGCAGATTGAAGATGAAAGCTGGGCAAAACTGCATGGATGACATATGGCCCAGATGATCAGAGAGCTTAGAGGTCCAAGCCCAGCACTGTCCAGGTGAGGGACCTCAGCAAGGAGAATGCAGGAATGATTCTCCTGGGTCCGCTTAGATCATGGCCCTGTTTCTGAGAAAGACAAGTTGCAGATTCTCCTGGAAGAGAAGCAGTATATAAGCAGGAAAGGCAAGGATGGCAATACTGACCACAGAAATACCTTGGGGACAGGGAGGGCTGAGCCAAGCTAAGCTGGAATTCTCTTGGATACCTTTTGCCACCTTCAGTTACAAGTAAGACTGCAGCCTGAATAGAAAGTCAATAGCTCTTTCTCACCTGTCCCTTTACCACATAATCTCAGAGGAAACTGTGACTCTGTAGTTCCCTAAAGAATTCCCCAACAAAATCAAGAAATACTAAACTTACCAAAGATAATGTTTCTGAAAGCTAATGGAGGGAAAAAAAAACACCCAAGCCCAAGAACAGCAAACCAGCATTTTTCACATACACTGTAAAGAAGGAGATACCCATTTCCTACCATGGTAGGTCACACTGCAGTGTTTCATCTTGGTATGAATAGATCCCTCAATAGTTAACTTCGCCAAGGGAGGATTCCGATCAATCCTCCTCACTCCAGCCATGCCGTCTTCTAAATCAATAATGGCTGATGAATACCTCTGCCAAGCCCACAACACAGACACAATGGAAATCCTGCTCTTTTACAAAGTGCCTTTGCAAGCCCTTTGGATAAGGGGTGCTTTACTGCTCCTCTGCTAAATCTCAGCAATGAAGCTGAATTCCTGATGCCGTTCTGCAGCAGCACCGCACTGCTAACCTGCACCTTTCTGCTCTTGGAGGATTTAGCAAGAGCCATTTGTATTCATTTGGAAACAAATTCAAACACACATTCTGTACAGCTTTCATCTTTAATAAAGACTTTTTTTGAGTTATACTCCGCTTTCACAACACACGCAACTTTTTTTGTCAAAATATCTTGCTGATAATTGGGTAAACCCCAAGCTATCCAAATTAGAACTGAGTGAGGGGGCTCATCTGCAAAACTGGGAAAAATTAAAAAGCTGGAAACATCAGGTGGATCTTGCAGTTCACATTTGTAAATCAAATCCCTTAATTGCACTAAAGCGCTAAAGGAGAATCACTTTTGTTAATTTTAAAGATATGATACACTTTTTTTGAGAATTCAATCCTTTTTGATTTTGTTATCTCTAGTAAAAACTATGCCTGATTATAATCTACAGCAACATTGTCCACAATTAAAAATATTTTACAGGATGCTTTTTCCAAAAAACCCAGGAATTAGTAGTAAATATCTCTTTTCAATAGCACATGAATCTACAATAATAAAATAAAACTGATGTTAGAAGTGTTGCTCACTAGACTATGCAGACAGACTTGGCAGTTATAAGTAGAGATTTATGGCTGGAAGGATGCATTCTCCTTGAAGCTGTTTGTGCAACCTACTTATCAGAAGAAAGATTTCCTGGAGATTTCTGTTAATTAGCTGGAACAAGCCATTAGCAAAACAAGCAACTAAAACTCTACGTATATAAGCTATTAGTCTTCTAGCATAGTTTATTTAAAAAAATAATTAAAAAAATATCCTAAAATTCTATAAGGGAGTGGCCAGATTCAGTAAGAACCACTTGTGCGTGGATAACAGTATTTACAGGAGTCTAGGAAAGGAAAAGTTAGCAGCCTGCCAGTAAAGATAAGGAGAGGAGGAGAAACACATGAGCCATGTTAAGGTGCTTTATGTCCCTCCCTTTTTAAGCTTCTGAAAGGCTCCACTTACTCCTGTGGCAATTAGGTGTAATCATCACTGCCGCTGATGGATTTGTATTGGGTCATCGATAAAATACAATGCAATGTTATTTTCAAAATTTTTGAATCAGATGAACTTTGAAGTTTGAAATGTAGCTATTTTACTTTGACTGTTTACTGGAGTAGCCACTGCCCCATGTGATTTGTCTATGAATTGCGAGGTGTGCTTCAGGGGCTTACATGAGGCAATGGATGTGTTTCTTCTATTAACTGTAATGAGAATTGCATGACTCATTCCTCTCACACCAGCCTAAAATGTACCCCTGCGGTTCTGTACTATGTATATTGACTTGAATGAAGCTTTGTATAATAAGATTTAAATTGTAATGAGTCATTATGTCAACCTTTTTTGCTGGTATTTTACATAGTAAGTCTACTGCATAGTGTGCAGTTGCTACTGCAGACAATCCTAGCAAGTACGGTAAGTTGGCAGTGGCTGGGTAGGAAAAAAGGAAAAAAAAAACTACTGTGAAAACTTCACAAAATCTTAGCACGACCAGTTTCAGAAGGATGATTTTTGTGAGTGTGCTTATTACAGCCATTATCATCAGTCCGAGATACACTCCTGAATCCATCACAGTTAGATATATGTCCTCATTTGCTTTTAGTGGGATGAGACAGTCTTGTTTATACAGGCTTGAGGTGAATGATGTCAAAGTATTATTTTTCATGATTGTTTAAACATTCAGACGTGCACACATGCACGCACACACAGAGAGCTCTTTTCTAATAATCCTTTTATCAGCCTGAAGCTGAAATAACTTTCTTTCTTCCCAGGATCTGTTATTGAGAGTTTCTTATTATTAACTAGATGCTGACATTGATTTCATTAAAAAATAAGTACAGTCCCAAAGAGCTTTTGGTTATTTTTTTTAATTGCATCACATGTAGAGTATAAACACAAACTGTTTTGCTCAAAACTGTACCTCTTTAATTGCTAGAATTAGAAGGATTTCTGGATCAGCATTTTCTCTAATTTTTCAGTATACATTGGTTGCATGTTACCAAGGTACCTCCGAAACCTCTAAGGCTGACTGGGGCAGAAAGATGTGTGGAAAAATTGTTTAAGTCTTCATTGTAAAGAATGCTAAAAAAACACTAGCAAAAACCTTCAGTTTTACAGTAATGAACTAATGGCTATTTTGTGCAAAATCAATGGTAGATAAGTATCTTTTATTCATCTATATATCTATAGGTCACTGATACAGGACCTAAAGATTTAACTATGTCTAAAGATAACATTTTGTGTCCAGTGACTTTTAAGAAACAAACCTTGTCAATCTACACCAAATAGTAATCAGATTCTAAGCCTAGACTGTGGCCCTTTGGTGTCAGCTTTTTAAAGACAGAGGTTAACAAAACTCTTCATGAAACAAACACACATGCTTACAAACGTCTCTCTCTCTATGAGTTTGCATTCATCTATAAAGCATTATTCTCCAACTGTTTTTTAAATTCTGGTGTTCTCTATTTAAACATCTACAGCAACTATGAACAAACGTGCTTCTCTCCTGCTCACTTCTTGTCTGAGAATTTAGAATCATCAATTAAATCTTTTAATTATAAAAGAGAACAGGTTGGGGAAGTGGGAGAAGAACCAGAAGATTGACACAGAAATGGGAAAAATAACTGAAGGTTAAAGCTTCTTATAGTCCATCACAGCAGCTCACATTACTCTTACAATCGCACTCTTGCTTCTCTTAAATACCTGAGTGTTTACAAGGTAGAGACTGGAGGCTGTAATTGAAAGCTACAGAACTGGCAAATATCAGCATCTAATAGCTGGTGTCCTTCCCCCTTCCCTCCCAGTACATACTGCCTGTGAGACGGCACTGGTGAACAAAAAACCACAAAGCTGGTATTTTATTTCCCCAACTCATCCCTAGCTGTACCTTGTCTCACCCTCCCAGCAGACTGTTAGGCGTTTTAGGACTGGTGTGCGTCTCTTTCACTGGCTGCTCTTCCTGCTCTCGTTAGTACATGAAAGTCTAATTGTGCTGGGCAGCTCTGTCTTGGCAAGCAACTTACAAATTAGACGTGAAATGGACAGGAATCTTGGAAAAGCCCAGCACCAGGTATCATTAATTCTACTCTTAGCAGGTAAGTTTTTCTCAGGTGAAGGACATGCTCTGCTTCTTACCTGAAAAGACTCTCCGTATTTTTTCTAAGCCTCCTGCCTTGTGATATCAATTACGGTAATATAGGTGAGAACATCAGTATGAAATTTAGAGACAGATAAATACAGTAGAGAACTAAAAAATTAATTTATGCTCAATCAAGTGACTCAATATCCAGCTTATTACTTCTGTTTACTTTTTTATCAGTATCTTAATTAAGGAGCAGCCAGGGAATACATACATGTTTTACTTCTCTTATAGAATTAGCTTAAAGAAAAAAACCCCACCCAAACATAGGATTGCAGACTCACCATTTTTTCGCCGAGAGGATCATAAATTATTGAAAGTTTCTTCATCTTCAGAATGCCCAGATGAACGTGCTGAAATATTCAGAGGCTAGAACCCAAGACAATATACAGGTGATTCGACAGTTCTTGATAGAAACTGAAATAAAAATCGTAAATTTACATTTTAAGTATGAGAAATGAATGTTTCTGATTTTCCCTTGTATCAACAAATCATTTAAGATACATCCATATTAAATGAAACGACATAAAGATAGCTGAAATGTGTTATCAGTCCATTTTTTGTTTTCCTTGGAAATACTTTTTCACTTTTTTCACTCTTTGCTATACTTGAAAAAGAAATACTGCTTTATGTGTACACTGGTAATTAAGTCTGGCATTCATATTTTTTCTATTACTACTTCTCTTGGTGCTTTTTTAAGAACTTTGTTTGCAAAGTTGCATACACGATGTTTTTCAACACTTGTATTGATTTTCTTTTGTCTTTTAACAGACAGCAACCTGTACACAACATGGAAAAAATAACAAGCAGCCGGTGCTCTAACAGCAAAATCAACATTCTTGTTAGTCTGATGACTATTATGAGCAAGCCAAAATCCAGCAGTACCCCATCAGAAAAAGAGTCCGTTATTTCTCAAATATCAATGACACAGGGTGAGGGGGTGTCAGGGGGTGGTGTGTACCTCTTGAACCTAAAAAGAAAGAAATATTCAAGTGGAAGCTCTTCAGCTTTTTTCCTTTCTTTAGTAGGCTTTTCAGCATACATTAGTTATTTGAATTCAGGTGCCTGTCCAAAGATGGGCTGCAAATACATTAATCCAGCAGGACATGGAAAATTAATCTTGGTCATAAATCAGTATTGTCACTATAGTCCAGATAGTCAAGATATGGGTATGCAGCTCAGCTCGCTGTGCACACGAATGACAATGTATCACAGCATTTTGTGTTTGCATGTTTCCAAGTTGAGTTGTGTGTCACACCTTTCTGCATGGTTACGTGAAATGGGTTTAGAGGTACCCGTGCATTCAGGTGGAGAGGAAGTCACCAGAATGTAGCTGAGGAGTAAGTACTAGTTGAGAGACAGTAGAGGCCTTCCAAGGTCTGATAACCTCTGGAGACTAATGAGTCTGGCTGAACTTGCAAAAATGGCTAAAACGTCAGAAGTCTGCTGAATTTGTCCAAAGCCACCAGTACACACTAGCATCAATAACTGGCCCTATCACATGGACCACATCCAAGATGGTGGTGGCTGCTGTATTCACACAAAGATGCCAATATCATATATACACACCTGAGCACCTTCTGCACTCGCCAGCAGCCGTTGGTGTCACCGTGACTCCCAGCTTTGCTCCAGCTATCTAAGCCTGACTTACCTCATGGGAGCGTCTACAAGTGAACTGTTTGGGGAGTAACCAGATGTATAGTTACCTGTAATTAATAAAAAGGCTTAATTCTACTAATAACATCAGCTTCATTATTTAAAGCTTTTATGAAGTATTAGTAGAGAGCTGTGTCTCCACCATCTTGATCCCCTACCAAGGAAAAGGGGAATTCGTAGTACTTGAACATTTTTTCTACTTGGAAAAGACAAGAGATGAGGCATTCAAACCAAGGTCTGTTACGTGGTTGCAGAGAAGACCCGTCTCACTGAAGTAACTTCATTTCCTGAACATACCCATCCATTATCCTCTACGAGCAATAAACACTTTACGATTTCTTTTTAGTAAGATCTTTATGAGCCTTCAGTTCATGTTAAGTTTAAGAGGGTCACATTCTTTTGTATTTTGACAGTGCAAAGGATTCTGATTTGTTTTTTCTTCTTTTTAAATCTTAACTGGAATCAGAAGGCTGGATCATCAGTAGATATAATGCATTATCATTAACTTCATGAAGCAATTTCTCTTGTACAGTTTTGCTAGTGCAGACATTCTAGCTTTTAGTTTAATTGAATTTGTTGAAAAATCTGTCATGACATGCTTGCTATATATGATCTTTCTACAGAAAAAGTATTTCTGTAAAATAAAATTCACTCCATGAAAAGGATTAGCACAAGGCTTGTACATCATTTAATCACATATTGAATTGGCTTCTAATAAGCAGTAGGAATGACTTAGACTGGCCTTCTGTTCATTTATGACTTTCCCATTAACATTTGCAAAGTGGGCAATGAGAAAAAAACACGTTCGTTTTAGCAAATGTTTTCATTAAATATTACCAACATTTTTCACGACTGAAAATGGACTATTCTCATCTAATCAATGAATCCAGCAAACAAATGCATTGTTGTCTGCAGTACCTTTTGTATTAGAATTCCAGTTTCTACACTTGTCCCCAAGGCTAAGAAAGAGCATGACTTTCTGTTGCCGATGTGCCGTGTTTCATCAGGTTGTGCCTCAGTATATACATGTTACATTACATCTAAGGAAATGTGACAGAAGGTAACAGCCTCTGCTGTGGTGCTGCAGTGTCAGCCTGCGCACCAGAAAGATGAGAAAATGCACTGCTGTAAGCACGCTGACTGGAAAGCAGAAAACAAACACAGGAACATCTAGTTTTCTGACAGGAAGTCAAATAATTGGAGCGCACACGCTCCTTCATTGCAAAAAACCTGTTACTGCCATGAAAATAATAACAGTTTGCTTTTCCTTTTGGTTTGGCAGCGAGTGATTATCATCTTCAGCAGAACTGAAGCAGTGAGTACATTGTATATACAGGAAGAAGTGACTGGGGCTACTGGATTTAAGACATTTTATTACTGCATGCAGTTTTATGGATTTTAAAAGTGGAATCAATTTTCTCTTTGTGAAATCTGATTGTGATAATTTTTTATTTTTTATTTTAACGAGAATGTTATTGACGTCCTTTGGCATATTTCTTGCTAATAAGACTGCCTTGGTTATTACAGTGCTACATTTCATATCTCTTTGACCACAATACAAGATGTTCCATTTACTTAAAGCTTTCCTGATGTTATCGGACCGAGAAAATTTACTTCAGCAGCCCTAAAAGCCATTCCAGGAATAAGACTTGATCCTTCACTCAATTATCTGTACACATTCCATCAAACATCTGTAAAGAGGTTAAACAAAATGTAAGGACGCCCAGGCCGTAGATTAGCCAGTAAACGTTATCTGGGAATTGACTTTTTTCTTTTCCCCTAACATAACAAAAATTAATGCCAGCAAGTCTCTTGGCTGTATCGAAACCAGGCTCACCTTCATGATTGCCCAACTGCTTTACACAATCAACTATCAGTCATTTTAATTTCACTGTATTTCAAGAAAAATGCAGAGGAGGACTCACATTTCAGATGAGGATGCAATACCAGTGTGGTCATGCAGAACAGCGTTGTCCTTAGAAGTCATTAACGCCTGGGAGAAGGGAAATAAAATTAAGTCATCTTAATTCAAAGCCCTATTTTATTTTCATTGTCATTTGGCTTTTGGTATTCATCAGCCTTACGCAACCACCATAATTAAATCCTCTCTCACTTGATAATTATTTTTCTGTAAACAAGCAAAAGTTTACCTTTAGAAATTTTTAACTGGATGGCTTCTCAAATTTCTCCAATAGACTTCTTCAATGAAATGTTTATTTGACACTGAGTAATTTGGAGTAAAAGAGAATGAGTTCCCGTACAGTCTAATGGTACTTAATGAAGGACTAGATGCTAAAGCAATTATGAAAGATGGGACACCCAGTGATGAATCTGGTGACAGAGCCCACTTCAGGGGGCATTTACAACAATTTCTAAGAAACTTTCAGCATAGCCTACAACAGAGTATTACCATCTGACACTAGTAGCTAGCTAGGTATCCCCACTTGCATTTATAAGCACACTAATGCCTATGACAGGAATTAGCATGAGGCAGGGAGCAAGAGCATAAGTGGAAATACAGTAAATAACCTTAAGGATTAAAGTGCATCAAATTCTTACAGCGAGTGGCACAGGCCTGCTGTCAGTTACGGGAACAATACCTCCGTGCCTTTCATGAAGTAGCTCTCTGTGAGGTTTCAAGGACAAAATGAAGGGGGTTTGGGTTTTTGTTGGTTTTTTTTTTTTTTTTTTTTCATCCAGTTTCTAATATACTGGCAGGAAGAAAATCCAGGCTGCAGGGATTTTTTGACCTGCAAGCTGCCTTGCTGCTGTTTTGGGATATGATGAACTACAACACTCCAGTTCCCATTTGGGGTACATATTAATAGATGCTAGACCTGAAAGAAAGGCACATGTTTGGCAAAAGAGTTCCCAAGTTTGTTCAGACTGGAAGATCTAGGCAATACGAACAAATTGTTAGCTAGTACAAGGAAAAGCAATGCAAGAGAACAATTTAAAAGAGAAAATAAGACTGCATTTAACCAATTCTTGATGCTTCCTTTGTTTTTTCTGTCATTATTTGTAAATATTACCAAGGAAAGAACCAATTTAACAATGCTATTTGTTTCTAGTAGAAGGAATTTGTGGCTTTGTGCTTTGCCCCATCCTCCCCAAACATACATCACTTTCCTGGTGATGAAGAGTAAAACTGTAATATCTGCATTCCAGGACACATCAAAAAGGAGTGGGTTTCAGTAATATTTTTACCATCTGCCATAGAAAAGTCAATTCTGACTTTGGGACATAAGGCAAATTTTTATCTAAAATCTGTCTCCTCGTTAAGTGCAACATTACCTCTGTGGAACAGATAACTTCTTTAAATCTGATAGCTCAGGAAACGTCTTTTATAATAATAATAATAAAGAAACTTTCACTATCTTAACCTCTACATTGATGCAGAGCTTATTCTAATCTGTCTTCACCTCAGGCATTAAAAGGATCTGCCAGAACATAAAATGAGTTTTTAAGAAGCTGCACTCCCCTCCCCTAGCCATGGATACTACTGTCACTAGATCCAATTGTTTCTGAGACAGAAAGCCAAAACATGTAGGAAAAAAGAGTGCATTTTTGCTTTTTTCCTATAAATCTAGTCTTTGGCTTAATTACAAAAAGACAGCTAGATTCATGCCTACACAACCTCATCCTTCATTGCCGCTTACAAACTAAAACCAGAAATGGTAGAGATCTTGGACATTGAACATACCTGCACATGAAACTAACCTACAGATTTCAGGTGCGTTACAGCACTTCAGCTATCTTCTGGAGCTGCTAGCCAAGATTTTACAAAAGGTGGCACTTACAGGTCAGACACTTCACTTTGATGGAAGAAACAAGTGGTTTTGTATCTAGCATGCTGAAATCCAGCAGATGATTTGTTGGCTCATGCTCAATTTAGACGCTTGTAGATACCAATCTTGACCGATCTGCATGCTGGACACCCATGGAAATCCAGTGTCTAGATTTGCAGACAATCCCAGTTTAAACAGGCTGATGCAGAGACAGGCTTTGTGCCTGTGGCCTCAGCACACAACAGGACAAAGCAATAATGCTCAGTGACTATGAGGAAGCTGAATGCTTGTGTCACAGACTCGATGTCTTGTTCATGTGGGTTTTGTACAGCAGATTACGCTGCTGTCAAATGAAAAGCAGCCTTATGTTTCTCAGGAGTGTTGGCAAATTGGATGGGAGAGGGTAGAAACATGTTGTCTTCCTGAATGTTGACAATGTGCCCAAGGAGCTGCTGAAGAATAGCAGGAGGATGGTTGGGAAATTCTGGTTGACTTCTCATTTGATGACAGGAGGTCCCTGGGGAGAACTGCTTTCTGTAGTTGGCTTTCTGTGAAGAAACCTTGGTAGGGGATGCGGGTGTACATTCCTGGTGAAGTAAGGAAGGACCCAGGAGGAAGGCACGTGTCCAAAGACAGCTCCTTAACAGAAAAGATTCCTTAACTACACCACCACCGTACCTCTTAAATTGAGCAGCTATTGCAGTGCCGTTATTGCAGATACAAGAGCAATCTGCCTTCACCCAAAAGGCAGAAAAAATTCCAAGTAATGCAAAGACAATGTAAAGAACACATTAAGATTTTATAACAAATTAGCCATCTGCCTGTGAATCTCATCCAAACTGTGAATTTAAAGCATATTCCATTAAAACACACTTCTTAGCAAATAACCTTTTGAACACCATTCAAAAAAGTATGCTTTCCATCAATTTTAATTTCTGTAAAAAAAAAATTACTTGGCTTGCCCTTCCCACACACAAATCACAATGCAACAAGCAAACATAATATATAAACTGTGCCTGACTCAAAGCTTGCTCTGTGTGCCCAGTAGGCACTGCAACACCTGAGGAAATGGGAGCCCAAGAACAAAATAACTACAATTTAACACATGAAGATTCACCCGGTGTCTTCCTCCTCCATTTCTTTCACGGTCTTGCACTATAGCAAGTGTCTTAATCACTTCTTGTACATATGGCCAAACATAACTGCCATTAGTAGGGCATATTTGTTCCCACGACACTGAATGACTTCAGCTCCCCGAGACGGAGACCCAGACTCTTTCAGAAGGCTACTCTATCTC